GATTTCACCGTTCCGTAGGTGAACCTGCGGAAGGATCATTGACACACTCAGTGAGCCCTTGGGTTGCGGGGTCAATCGCAGCCCAAACCCCGGGTCGGCAGGTGCGGCGCTCGCGTTGCATCGGCCTCCTGGGTGGGGAAAGCGCGTGCTCGCGTCCCGCTCGCAAAAAGGAATCGGGTTCCACCCGTGCCCGGGCTGCGAGCGGCGACGAGAGAGATGGCGGGCTCTCGCGTTCCTCCTAGGAGGAGGCGAGCGTCCAGAGCACGCTCGAGGGCACGGAAGGATGACGACCGGCGTTCAGCCGGCTGCCGGATCTCCGTGCCCGTGGCCTTGTCGGAGGATCCGTCGGAACAATGCAGGAACCCCACCTCAGGCCGTGCCCCGCGAGCGCGTCGGTCGTTTTGGCGAGCGATCGGCGAGCTGGCGTGGTGCGGTGGCTCGAAAAAAGTCCGAGCACCGATGGATCCGTTGTGGTGCTGAACGGAAAGCGCACCCCGACAGGCATGGGGCACCGCCCTGGTTGATCCCAGACCTCGGCAAACGCCCCTAAGAACGAGTGACGAAACGACCGCCCTCGGGTCCTCCGGGTTGCTCGCAACTCGGGGGGACCGGGCGAACCTCCTCTCGCAGGAGGTCAGGTTGCCGTCCCCTCTCACGCAGCGAGCTTATTAGGGCCGCCACCCGAAAGGCTAGCCGCGATCGGGAGCGAGGCAAGACGCGGACACGGTCGGCCTGGGCGGAGGGGTGGCACCCGAAGCTCTTTCCTTCCAGTTCGTGACGAGCCTCGACACCAGGGAATGCAGCAACCCGGCGGCACCGGGCGTCCATGCGGACAAAAAAAAAAAACTCCCCAGCCCTGATGGAAACAGCTCGGGCCTACCAAGCGCAAGCGAGGGAAGCCCGGGGCCTGACCTCGAGTATCCTCTGAACACCTTTCCTTCCGACGCTCCTCCTCCCAATCCAGCGTCCCCCGCCACCGGTGCTCGGTCTCTCTTGGCATCGGCGGTGTGACTGCGGGGTCTTGCTCGCCCGGCCTTCTGAATTCCTCTAGGAAGGCTCGGGAAGGGGCGCCCGCGGTGATGGCAAAGGGACCCTTTTGCTACCCCCAACCGTCCCGCTCGCAGTGCATCAAGGAGCTGCGGGCAGAGGCGGAATACAAACCTCTCCGCAACCGGAACTGGCCGTCCGGTCGCAAAAAACCCTCCCTTGAGCGGGGCGCCCACGGGCCCCGGCACCTAATAAAAACTGGGACCCCACTCCTGACGATGGATATCTTGGAACCTGGCTCGATGAAGAACGCAGCGAAATGCGATACGTAATGCGAATTGCAAAACTCCGTGAATCATCGAAACTTTGAACGCATGTTGCGCCCGAGGCCTCGGCCGAGGGCACGTCTGCTTGAACGCCACACACATCCAGGTGGAACCTCGCATCCGAACCCACCCCTCCGCACGCAGCTAAGTGCGGCAGGGGAAACGGGACGGGAAAGCAATGCGGGGCAGACAAGGGGCGCTCGGGTTGGTGTGGGCTCCGGCCCCCCCCTTTCTCCGAGACAATCGCTCGTACCTGGGAAAACGAGATGGCCGTCGCAACCCGTGCGCTCCGGGGCACAAATGGGGGGCAGTCGGTTGAAATCGCAGGGCCGCATTAGCCCGTCTCCGCTCCTCTCGACCCCAGTGCAGATCCCCGGGCGCCACCCGGGAGGACGCGAGTGGGACGAGCGAGATGAGGCGGGCGGCGACCCCGCTGGGCTCGGCGAACCCAGCCGGCCAACGGACTCCGTCCGGACCTCCCAGCAGGTGGGGGGGCCGGTCACTCGGTCCCTCTTTTCTCTCCCGAGACGGTCGCGAAAAGGTTCGGGAGCCGGGGGCGTGGCAACCCCCGGTCTCCCCCTCCAAAGTAGCGCACAAGAACGGGCGAGAGGCGGACGGGGCTCGTACAAAAATGGTCGGACGGGGAGGAACCGGGCAAACCCCAAACGATGGCTTCAAGTCAGGCGAGACCACCCGCTGAATTTAAGCATATTACTAAGCGGAGGAAAAGAAAACAACCGTGATTCCTTTGGTAGCGGCGAGCGACCAAGGAAAAGCCCAGGCTTGAAATCCGAGGGCCCCCGGCCCTCCGAATTGTAGTCTGAAAAGGAAGCGTTCTCTGTGACGGGCGCCGCCTTAAGTCCACTGGAAAGTGGCGGCAGAGAGGGTGACACCCCCGTCGGGCGACGACCCGTCACTCCACGAGACGCATCCGAAGAGTCGGGTTGCTTGGGAGTGCAGCCCCAACATGGGTGGTAAGCTCCATCCAAGGCTAAATACGGCCAGGTTTCCGATAGCGAACAAGTACCGCGAGGGAAAGATGAAAAGAACTTTGGAAAGAGAGTAAAAAGTGCTTGAAATCGTCAGGAGGATAAGCGCATGAGCCCAAGCAAACCTGCGGGCCCCGTTCGCGCGGGGCCCGGAGGTACGCAGCGCCGGTCGATGCCGCGGGAAAAGGAGCTCGCTCC